TCTGGAGATTCCTCTTGCATATGGTGGAATCCTCAGTGACCTCATAGCAGCTCTATACTTTTGCTTCTATCCCCCACCCCTTGCAGGAGATGTAATTGGGGTAAATGAGCAATCTGACTAGCTAGCTGCCAGAATGGTCCTATAGGTCTGTGAGCAGCCAGGCATAAATTAGAGCTGCCTTTGCCCTGCTCTAACTTGTGTTCCCAGATTTGATTACCTTAAAAGTAGCTTAAAGACACCTTTGGCACCATCCCCCGTGTCCTGTCCATGGTATGGTATTGCTACCCTTACTCCTGTGTTGCTGCTGGTGATGGCACTGCATTCAGAGCTGGGAACCCAGCCAGCAGTTGCCGCTTTCCGGCCACCCAGCTCTGAAGGCAGCGCAGAAGTAAGGCTGGCAATATAAAACAACAACAACAACCCCCTCCTTCCCCCGGTCCTTCTGAAAATTCACATTAATGATCTTAAATATGTATCCAAATAATTGCTACTAGCCCTTATATAGCGCTTTTCATCCTAGCTTGAGATACTGCAAAGGGAGCTCATTTTCAGAGAGTGGTGCCCAACACTTTCTGAAAATCAGGCCTCTCTGCACAATGTAGCATAAGGTGAAATGATGGGAATAGGTAAATATGGAGTACTTATAAAGCAGTTCACTCTATTTAAACACTGAACAATATACTTCTGAGGCAATCTCTTCATAAAAGAGAGGGAGAATGATATCTGTGGTTTATTTTTTGTGAAAAGCATGAACTGTAAATAGGTCTTTGTGCAAAATGTCAGCTGCGTTGCGGAGAAGTAAATGATATTGACTTGATAACCCATGATAAATAATACTAAAAATGAGACCACTTTATGTAGCTGCAGGTGTGTTTGTATACATTTATGCAGCTATGGAAAAGACCCAGAAAAGCAATAATGAATAGACTAACAGCAAACTGAGTTTATTTCAGCTAATGACAGTAGTAGTCAATCAGTAATAAATCATGATCATCCGCAATTTGTCATGTTCCATGCCAAAAGGGAAGTTGATGTTGGACCTCATTCCTTACTGTGTTCCTTGTGTAGTCATTTACACATACAAAGTGGGTGTGAAGGGCTACTAAAATCAGAATGTTTTACACCCACTGTGCACAGGTGCAAGTGGCTGAAAAATGTATAAGACAGCAGGAAATCAAGCCTCCAAGATTTAAAAAGCAGTAACTTGAGGAAGATTGATATTGATTCCAGTTCATCCTTAGGATGCATCCAGCAGATCTTTGAGATTGTGCTGTTTAGAGATCCTCTTACCACAGTGATGGGTAGCTCTGTCTTTAGCAACTGTGTCCTAGGACCTACATAATGACTCTCTTGGTAGCTTGCTCACCATTATATTTTCTATTTCTATGTATATGTGTCCAGATCAATGTACAGCTGATATACAATACATCTAGTTGCTTGGTTTTTAATTACCTGATAGGCTACATCTCTTTGAATACCTCCAACTGAGCACAAGAGACAGAGAACTCTACCATTTTAAATGTTGAGTATGACAAAGGAGAACCACACAAACTATTTGTCTAGCATTCTGAACTGAACATGAGTTTACAGAATCCAAAAGCTGACTAGCTACCAAACAATTAGCTTTAATTTCACTTTACTTTGTAGCTTGTTCACACATGTCTTTTAGGTTTCAAGAAAGATAAATATAATTCTTAATGGACATGGGGCATCTGCATTAATGCCAAATGCATTCACTCTAAACACTGTGATTACAGTGAGTACTTTGTGAATTAATAATTACAGGACACTTCAGATAAAGTATTACCAGTGTAATTAAGGCCATGCTAGTTTGCAAAATTCCAGCCCATACATTTGAGTAATTAAAAAGAGAAAGAGAAACTTCTAGCTATCTGAAAAGTTTTGTGCCAGCATGAACACATTTTTGTATTATTTAATGTATACTAATAAAAATCTCAATTAAAAGTTAATCGGAAAGGAGGAGCTGACTTGTTTTTTGTACAGACCTAAACTGTAGCAGTGTACAAGAATAAACTTCCTTCACAAAAGTCCACTGCACTGGAAAAGGCATTGAAAACTGGCTATGCTGAAAACTCCATGTGAGTTCCAAGGCCCTAGCTGGGGTTGTCAACCCTCCAGGATTGTCCTGGAGTCTCCAGGAAATAAAGATTAATCTTTAATTAAAGATTATGTCATGTGATGAAATCTCCAGGAATTTGTCCAACCGAAGTTGGCAACCCTAACCCTAGCATATATTTCATTCGTTGGTTGGCTGTTTAGGTAGCAATCAAGGGGATACCAGACTGTTTCTTAACATTTTATTTTGGATAAATGTCTTTTAACTTTAGATTTAGTCACAGCAACTGTCACAGTAGCAGAGCTAGCTGCATCTCTGCCTGTTTTCTGAGTGCATCCACTTTAGGTGTTCAGCCTCTAATCCTTACCTGTCTGGGGTGGAATCATGTGATTCTTCCACTCTTAGGCTTTGTCTACACTACATCATTTACAGCGGTGCAGCTGCACCGATGCAATTTGTGCTGGTGAAGACGCTCTAAGCCAACTGGAAAGAGCTCTCCTGTTGGCTTAATAACGCCTGCCTCTGCAAGAGGCGGTAGCTATGTTCGTGGGAGAAGCTCTCCTGCCTACATGGCATTGTCCACACCGGCACGTAGGTCTGTATAACTTATGTCGCTCAGGGATGTGGATTATTCACACCCCTGAGCAACATAAGTTATACTGAAGTAATTTGTAATGTAGACATAGCCTTAGGCCAATGACCCAAGAACGCTGCCCCATGTTGAACCAGCCACTTATCACCCTGCAGGTACAACTGAGTTTTAGGCACCTACTTTTTTCCCCTTGAGGCACTTGCAACCAACTGCCTCTTTAAAATAAAATGGTTTTATTTAGTGGTTGGAACAAAGCATTAGAGAAAAAAGGAGTTTAAAATCAAAAACAACTGAGACACATTTAATCTAATCTTACGCTTCACTACAAACTAAATTAGATAGAGCTGAAGTTACAGGAACAGAATAGAACAAATTAATATTCTCCTAGTCAGCCCAGATCTTCCTGTGTGTATGTGGGAGTTTCAGTCTGGCTCTCTCCCTGTTCAAATTGTTTTTCTCTGGTCAGCAGGAGCATCCGTTAGGGCCTATCCAGGAGGATGTCCCATGACAGCTGCTCCACTGTTTGGCCAATTATATCCATTCAGTCCCAATGGGTTTAAATCACGGGCCTAATGGCTGTCTCTCTCCTGTGGCTGAGTGTGTTGGAACTGTCTGATCCCCTTTATTAGTCTAACACGCCATCTTAGACATCAATTGCATTTTGGTTACAGACCAAAATAGGCATTTAATGCAGTCACTTATGGCCCTATATTGTCACAGTTACGTACCTAGCATCAGAAGAAAGGACTTGTAAGTAATAGAAATTCAGATTCTCTGACTAACTGTTTTGAAGGTGACTCAAACTTTGAAAAGTTGCCCAACCTTTAGGCATCTTGGGCCTGATTTTCAGAGGTGCTGAGCAGGGCAGCTCCCAGTAATGGCAGCTGCATTGTGAATGCTCAGCACCTCTGAGATTCAGGCCTAAGGTGTTTCAGTCAGACACCCAAAACCACAAGCAGCCCAAATCAGAGGCCACTTTAGAAAGTGTTGAACTTGGTATCTTATGATGTTATGGATCTGTAGGGTTGTTAGTTTGGTGCTTAGCCTGTGTCGATTGCATATCAAATGTTTCTCAAATGTTAAAGTTTTTATCACCATCTAATTTGCATTATATTCTGTATTTTAAATGTAGAGCTATAGCACATGATGAATGAACTTTAGATTAGGTTCGGCCTTTTCCACCCTTAAAGTCCTAAGTGAAGAGAGAGCATCCCAAATGCATGACCAGTGTATATTTGCTTCTACTACATGGCATCAGAAATCCTTAAAAGTAACGGAAAGTGTACTTATTTCAGTCTAAAACCGTTAAAACCAATGCAGAGACTTGAAAGTGTTTCCAAATTTATTGCCATCACTAAGTGCCATGAACATTTATGTCACTCAAGTATCAGAGGGGTAGCCGTGTTAGTCTGGCTCTGTAAAAGCAGCAAAGAGTCCTCTGGCACCTTATAGACTAACAGACATATTGGAGCATGAGCTTTCGTGGGTGAATACGCACTTCGTCGGATGCTTGTCATGCTTGACAACATGACTAGTATTCCAGCTTTAAGAAGGAGACTAAGTGTACGGCTAAATGGTTTCTGGTAAGAAGCTACTTAGCTGTAATAGAATACTGTAAGAAAAATGCTTCCAGGGCTTCCTTGATTTCTATTCAGCTTTACATTGTTATTTATATTTATATGGATGAATACCCACTTCGTCGGATGCATGACATGCATCCGACGAAGTGGGTATTCACCCATGAAAGCTTATGCTCCAATACGTCTGTTAGTCTATAAGGTGCCACAGGACTCTTTGCTGCATTTATTTCATTGTATACTATGAAATATAAATAACAATGTAAAGCTGAATAGAAATCAAGGAAGCCCTGGAAGCATTTTTCTTACAGTATTCTATTACAGCTAAGTAGCTTCTTACCAGAAACCATTTAGCCGTACACTTAGTCTCCTTCTTAAAGCTGGAATACTAGTCATGTTGTCAAGCATATTCTATAGTAATACTTGAGGATATTTTCAACTATGTCTCTATATGAAAATTATCCCTCTCTTCTGTTTTTGAGTTTTGTTTTCTGCTTTTAAACTTTTTGGAGGATCAGGACACGTTACTGTCTATGCTGAACTTTTGTTCCTGAAAAATATTTTTTTTGAAAAGTCTATGGGCTTCTGATTCTCTTCTTACATTGCATTGTAAATCATGAGGAACTCCATGGATGTGAATGGAGTTTCATTGCTGTAAATGAGATCAGAATGAAACCCTATAGTTTCCAAGCCTAAGTGTTAAGTTTCAAAATGATAGTACCATTGATTTTCTTTTGACTCTAATTAATTTCAGGTGCTCAACCTGTTCCTTGCCTTGCTACTGAGTTCTTTTTGTGCTGACAACCTTTCAGCACCGGATGAAGATGGAGAGATGAACAATCTACAGCTCGCTTTTGCTCGGATCAACAGGGGGCTTCAGTATGTGAAAAATACAACATGGGATTTCTGTTGTAATTTACTTAGGCATCCGAAGACGACAGCTGAAAAGAAGGCAATGATTAAACTTGCTGCCCAGAACACAGGTGTCCTTCACAACTATGTGAATAACCATACCACTGCAGAGATTGGTAAAGATGTGGAGAACCACAAAGAGAACCATGTTGATGATGGGACTGACAAAAATGGGCAGAAACTCCCAGTGATTAGTGACAATGATGATTTTCTAACCAACCCTGACCTGTCCATCTGTGTTCCCATTGCTATGGGGGAGTCTGATATTGAAGATCAAGAAGATGATGAGGAGCAGAGCACATTCACAGAAATGGAACAGGTAGGGAGCCAAAATGTTTGTTTGATAGCAGTAATTTATTGAGAGGACATCCATTTCCACATCCAACTCTACATCCATGGCTCATAATGCAATCATTTAAGACCAAATCCTGCTTTGGATATGTACTTGCCACTCTCATTAACTTCAGTAGAAGTTACATGTGCATATCCAAGGGCAAAATTCAGCCTTTAACAAAGGGATGTCTCCTATCATTGTATGCTTTCGCTATGTCTAAATGAATTATATGAACAAGAGTAACTAAATTCCCTCCCACATCCAGCCCCAGTTCTCCTTTAGTTCAAATCACAAGAGAGGGCCCTTAGGTTCTCTGACAATTTAAAATGAAAGGTTCCATACATCAAGAGGGGAAAGTGGCTTGATTTGGTTTATGTAGCAGAACTTCAGCCCCAAGTAGTTCTGTTTAAAGGATCTGAACCATGCAAATGCTGATGTGACCATGTGTAGGAGCACGTAGTGGCTGATTTAGGAAGCATGTTTTTGAGAAAGGCAAAAAAACAAGTTAGTAACATGCCTTAGTTTGACACTGTAAACGTACTTATTCTACAGAGATCTCAATAGAGCTGGTTGGAAAATTCTGAATGTTTTGAAATTTTGATGAAAAACAGAGAAAAATAATTCACAACAAATCTTCTTACCCCCCCTTTTTGAACCGCTCTACCTCTCCATTTCATGGATCAGAGTTAATCAGAGAGCAACCAAAGCCATTAGTTCTGATCCAGCACCCATTGAGGTAAATGGAAACCCATGGACTTCAGTAGTCCCTTTGCATCAAGATGAAGTTCTTTTGGGTCTCAGAGATGTAAGAAAGAATGTTCAAATACTAGCACTATTCTTAGGGATGTGTTATGTGAAGAAAATATAACCAAATAACCATGTAGAGAGTCACAAATAGATAAATGTTAACCTCTAATGCTTCTCTATGGGAAAGCTTATTACACGCTGTCACCAGCCAGTATTGCCATATTGATTGATGAACTGATAAAAGAGAAGATGGAGAACTAGAACTCTAAATGTTATCAAGCCATGTCATCCAAATAGACACCAGGATGATGAAATATGCAGTCAGAAAATATTTGGAAATATCTTTAAAGGGTTATTTTTCTTTATTTAAGGGACATGTATTAAAATCTTCAGTTTCAGTGAAGGTGGCATTAAATCTAAACTTGAGTGTGACTATTTGTTGTTTTGGCTTTGTGCATTTTGGCTGTATTCTTAACAGTAGGTGCATTGTTTAAGCTCTGATAGGCCCTGTCAGTTGCACCCTAGTTGTAGCTAAAAGAAGGCAAGTAAGCATACATAAAACAAATGTGTGATAGTTGCTAAATAGAATGATTGCTACTGACAATGTTTGTGTTCTCTTTGAAATCTCTTCCCCCTCCCCCTTAATAGTTGAATACGGGCAGAGTACCTTGTTAAGTAAACCCTAAATACAGTGGCTTAGAGTATGGTGGCTTTGTTATTATTCTTTAATCTGACATTACTGATTGGCTGAAATTCATATTATTTTTCTGGAGATAGAATCTATTTCTAGCTGAGATTTGAAAAAAAAGTTTCTTGTCTTTGTACATCAGTTCAAGACGGGGGTTTGTAGTACATCGTTAAATACTCTTGTTTGCTCATCAGATAAACAAAAAAGCATATGTTCATTGACCCTTCACCTAGAAACATATCTAGTACTATATGCCATGCTTTTCAAGCTAATAAATAATAGTGGGTATAGTCACAACTTAAAATATAGTCTCTTCTTATTGGAGCTTGCTGAAGTTTCACAACAGGATCTGAGGAAAAAGTACAAAAACGTTAATTTCCAGTATAGTAAGACTGCACTGCATTTTTACACATTCATGTAGTTATTGACCTCTCTCGTATAGGTAGGTACTAGCTCATTTCATGTTATTGTAGCAAGAAAATGTAGAATCAGAATTTTACTGATACGTATTAGAGCTGGTTGGAAAATGGAATTTCCATCCTGCAGGAAATTTTACTACATGCCCAAAAGCCAGAATACCACAATCGAGGAGGAAGGCCATTTTGGTTAAAAAAAAAAAGTGACCTGCTTTAGAGGGGACCTTACAGCAGCTATAAGACATATATATATATATATATATATATATATATATATATATAATATATATATATATATATATATATATATATATA